TCTAGCCTAGTGCACAGCTGGAGTCATCCAGGAGACAAAGCCACAGTATCAGGTCACACGATCAGCCCCCCTCCTCACCCCCACCAGTTGTTGGCTGCAGAGGTCACTGCAGCTAAATTGACAAAGAGGGGACAGCTGTTCTCCCATCAACCACAACAGACCAGAGAAGCTGGTAAGTAGACTCCTACCCTTGGGCAAGGACGACAGCCAGGACTGAATTTTCCTGGGCCACTGGACCCTAGCGTAGAGACCTAAATCTACAGAGGAGATAGAACAGTTGTACAGAATGACAAATAGAGAGAAGACTCTTGTGAATACTAACCCAGGCATGATATCTGCCTGGTAGTTAATCATCCTCATTTTACAGGAAAGAATATGGAGGCTTACTAAGGGGTGAGTCACTAGTGTTTGAGTCTAAATATCATTACATCACACAGTGATCCCTGGGCAGGGGCAAACAACAACAAAAACCTCTTAGTCACTTCACTTTTCCTATTTCTCAAATAAGTGGCTTGGAGGGCGGGCAATCAGACAAATATGCAGTGTCTGCTGCCCCCCCTTCCAGAGCTGTCACCTTACTCAGGAAAGGGCTACATGTCACAGGCCTGCCTGGGGTTAGATGTGGTTTGAGTATGAAACTTGGTCCTCAGTGTGATGGCTCTGGGGCCTTTTAAATGCAGGCATGGGCTCAAGAGACGGCTTGGTGATTGAGAGGACTGGTCGCTCTTACAGAGGAGCCTGGTTCGATTCCCAGCACTGTGTGGTGTTTCACAACCATCCATAACTCCAATTCCAGGAGATACAAAGACTCCCAAAGACACCAGGTACACAGGTGGTACGCATACTTACACACAGGCAAAGCATTCATACACAGAATTGCAAAGCCTAAGGCTGAGGATATATAGGTCAGTGGGTAGAGTGCCTGCCTTGAAGACTCAAGGCCCCAGGTTTGATCGCTATAAACCAGGTGTGGTGGCTCATGGTAAACCCAGCACTTAGGAGGTAGAATCTGGAGGACCAAAGTTCAATGTCATCTTCAGCTACATAGAAGTTCTTGGCCAACCAGAGCCACATTAGACCTTGTCTCAAGATACACACCCACCCACACCCACACCCACACACAGAGTCCTTAGGCCACCGAGAGCACAGCCTTCTGAAGGGATTCACATTTTCCTCCAGGGAGGCCCATGAATCTGTTCTCCTGGGAGAACTGTTATAAAAACAAGCATAGTTTTCCCGCCACCCTGGAAGTGCTGCCTGGCCCAATGATTCCTCCTAACCCACAATGGATCCTGCTTTGCTGGTCTCCTATGAGGGCCCTCAACAGAGTGAACTGATGCCAATACCACACTCTTGGCTTTGGGGGTTTCGTTATCCTAACAGGTCTTTGGCATTCTCTGACATCAGCGAGGAGGATCCTGCCTTGCCCATCCATCTGTTCACTACACTTGGCGTATCTTTGCGAAATTTCCATACAAAGCTGCCGGTTACAGGTTAGGCCTAGAGCAGCAGAAAAGGGAGGCTTCCCGCCCTTGCAGAAGTCCATACCCCTGTGCCCGTTTAATGGCTCAGCAAAGCAAGGTGCTTGCTGCCAGGCCTGACAACCAGAGCTCAGTCCCAGGAACCCACATCACGTGGTGGAAAAGAGAACTGACTCTTGCAAGTTGTCTTCTCTCTGTGTGTGTGTATTCTTTAGAGATTTGGTAGTCCTAACAGGAAGGCGGAGAAGTAGACAAAAGACTCTTGCAGAATTCAAGATTACAACAGAGAAAGCCTCAAGGTAAAAAGGGAATCCTAAGGTGTTCCTTACCCTCCCAGGAGCATCAAGAAAGCTTCTTGAAGATAACTCTGAGCTGAGTCAACAAGAAGTAAATCACTAGTTGGATGGGGAGGGAGTACGAGCAATCAGAGGGAACAGCTTGTGCAAGACTGGAGGTGTGGCACAGGACCTCTCCCACTTCAGTCCTAGGCCTTGGGGTTCCCGATAGAAGGGAGGAGGGTAGTGAGCAGGGGAGATGCTAAGAACAGATTTGCATTTCAGAGTGTCCCAGCTGGACAGTGGACAACCAGATAGAAGGAGAGTAGAAAAACCAGTCAGGGCACTGCAGAGCCCCAGGGAAGAACCAGAAAAGGGCTGGGTTTGGGCCTTGGCCCTGAGATGAAGGCTGAGACCCAAAGGTGACAGCTATGTAAGGAACAACTTCTCCAGGACATGAAGTGTGGACTAAGAGGGCACAAAGACACCATACCCTGCTCTTCGTGGGCACCTGGCCCAATGTATGTCATCTTCTGCCCGAGAACTCTTGTATCACTTTGTAACATTTTGTATCACTTGAGGGTTTTAGCTCTTACTTTGGCTGTTTGTACGGAAAGATTTTTATTTTTGTTTGGCTTTTGTTTTTTATCTTGGTTTGTTTTTCATTTTGAGACAGTGATTCATGTCAAACTTACTGTCTTAGGGGTTCTATTGTTGTTATAAAACACCATGATCAGAAACAACTTGGGGACAAAAGGGTTTATTTCATCTGACAGGTCTAATCACTGTCTATCATGAAGGTAGGTCATGGTAGGAACTCAAGGCACGAACTGAAGCAGACGTCATGGAGGGGTGCTGCTTACTGACTTGCTCCACATAGCTTGCTCAGCCTGCTTTCTTAAATACTTCAAGACTACCTGCCTAGGGTGGGTGGTGCCGTGAGCTGGGCCCTCCCACATCAATCAATCACAAATTAAGAAAATGTTCCACAGCCTTGCCTAGGAGGCATTTTTCTCTTCCCAGTTATCTCTACATAAACTTTTGGGAGTTGGCTCTCTCCTTATATCACATGGGACCCAGTGATCAAACTCAAGTCATCAAGTTCGGCAGCAAACACCTTTATCCGCCGAGTATCACCACTGGTAGACGTTCATGTGCTAAGGTACGCATATGGAGTTGGTTCCCTCCCTCTACCTGTGGGGCCTGGGTATTGAAGGCAAGTGGTCAGGGTTGGCAGCATGCACCTGTACCTGCTGAGCGATCCTGCTGGTCATTAATAGAGTGTTTCAAAAAGAAGTTTAGGTTTACAGAAAAACCGAGCCAAAAAAAAATTCTTTTTTTCAGGAACTTATGTACCTCTCCCCTCTGGTCCTGACTACATACTGTTTTCTTTCATTAGTGTGAAATATTTGCCAAATTTGTTATACCAAGGTAAATATATTATTAGTTAAAGACATGCTCTAATAAGAGTTTCAAGGGATCTAAAAGCAAAACAAAAACAAAAACGAAAAACCCGCAGATTTCACCAGCAGCTAAAAGCATCCTCACTGGTGGCAGGAGAAGAGCAAATGACAACCTCAGTATGACGGTTGTCAACGGAAACTTACCTTCTCAGTCCCACTGTTTTCCCTTCTCTTTCTTTCCTTTCTTCTTTCTCTTTCTTTCTTTCTTTTCTCTTTTTTCTTTCTTTCTTTCTCTCTCTCTTTCTTTTTTTCTTTCTTTTCTTCCTTTTTCTTTCCCTTTCTTTCTTTCTTCTTTCTTTCTTTCTTTCTTTCTTTCTTTCTTTCTTTCCTTTTTCTTTTTGAGACAGGTTGTTGGTTTTTTTTTCTTCTTCTGTGTAGCCCTGGCTGTCCTCGACCTTACTCTAAAGATCGGGCTGGCCCTGAACTCACAGCCTGCCTCTGCCTCCCAAAGACCAGGATTAAAGGCGTGTGCCACCATGGCTGAGCTTTGTGTTTGATTTTTCTTTCCTTCTTTCTTTCTTTCTTTCTTTCTTTCTTTCTTTCTTTCTTTCTTTCTTTCCTCTCTCCTTTCTTTCTTTCCTTTTTCTTTTTGAGACAGGTTGTTGTTTTTTTCTTCTTCTGTGTAGCCCTGGCTGTCCTTGACCTTACTCTAAAGACCGGGCTGGCCCTGAACTCACAGCCTGCCTCTGCCTCCCAAAGGCCAGGATTAAAGGCGTGTGCCACCATGGCTGAGCTTTGTGTTTGATTTTTCTTTCCTTCTTTCTCTTTCTTTCTTTCTTTCTTTCTTTCTTTCTTTCTTTCTTTCTTTCT